TATGATAAACACATTAGGGTTAGGGTTAGGGTTATTTTATCCAAAATTCAGAAGATAAACTAAGTAAGAAGGATCTGTTTTAAGCATTTGCTGTATTTAAAAAAAAACTGTAATTAGAAGAATAGGAATTCCTATGGATCTTTCTTTCTTTGAATCAAATACTTCAGTTGTCTATTTTCTTATATTTTCTTTCTTTTGCAGTGCTAAACCCTTATAGCTGATAAGAAAGTAGAACTTTATGGGATTTTCTGGTTGTTTTGCTAATGCATTCCTGTTTTCTTGGTCTTTTCTATGTGGTTCTTTCATAGAATGTTATTCTGTAGTGTAAAGAAATGTTATTTAGTAGGACTGTAAAATGCTTTGAATTTGAAGGCAAAAAAATATGCCTCAAAACATGCAGAAATGCACCCGCTGGTTACTCTTCTTTTTCCAAAATAGTGTGGCTGTCCAATCCTAAGGGGAAAAAAGTATGTTTAAGAACATGCAGAAAGTGCTATGTAAGCACCCTTGCAAAGCTCTAAGGATGTTTTTGGCTGGAAATACAAAGGACTGCACCCCTCTAATTATCATTAATGTTTTCTTTTTCAAGAGATTTAAGATAAATGAAAGCTCAAGCAAAGTATTTGACACGGCATGCTTTTTTTGTTTCAACAGGGTGATCAAGGTATACCGGGAGACAGGGGCCCACAAGGTGAAAGGGGGAAGCCTGGCTTACCAGGAGACCAAGGGCCCCTAGGACCTACTGGATCTGCAGGGCAAAAAGGCAATTCAGGATCTCCAGGTCCAAAGGGCCCTCCAGGTGTCCCAGGAATTCCAGGAATACCAGTAAGCTGAAGGGCAGGGAATGGACAACCTTCATTGGCTATGTGCTGCACCTAACGTTTTGGAAAGGGTAAAGCTGCAGTGGGCAAAATGGCATTATTTAATGGGAAGAACTTATCATGAACAAAGATAATGAAATGGGTTTCTATTCTAAGCCTATTTTAAAGATTAAACAACAGCTTTTATATGTTTTCTACACCAGAAGGGCAGAAAATCCTATTTTTATATTCAGAAATTGCAGTTGGAATAAGTTCTGGGCCTTCAGGTCTGCATGCTGTTCATTGGTTGGAGTTGGCCATCTTTTTCTTGAAAATTCAAAATAAAACTCTGGACAAATAATTGAGAAACAAGTATTTGAAGGCAATAGTATTGTTTGTATGGTGGCAGGAATGGTTATGATGGTAGTAATGCTAGCAGATTTTCATTACATGAATTTTATTTATAAATTTTATTGTTGAAGAGCTCTTAATAGAAACATGAAGACAATGTTATTTGTTTTGATGATTTTGTTGCCCAAGCCATCTATTCTTAAGCTCTCTCATTTTTTATTTCTTCAGGCTGATTCAATTTCATTTGAGGAAATGAAAAAATATGTCAGACAGGAGGTTCTTAGAGTTTTTGAAGGTAAGGAAATGGCATATGTGAAAATATAATACCTGTTTCACATCTCCTTTGTAAATTTTGCTTCCAATTGTGCATTATAGATCTACTGGATATGTAACATTTGAGCGTCAGTCATTTATACAAAATAGATTTAAAATGCTTCAAATGTTACAATTACTAAGGTGTCATAAAAATGCAAGCATGTCTATTGGACAGACGATTCCCACATACCAAAGATCTTGAAAGATAACAGAGCTCAGTTTTTTTCCATCTATACCTGATACAGGAATAGGTTTCAGTTCAGACTAGGCTAATTGCAGAGAGAGACTGTGTGCACCTCTTATATCCCAGCCAACTTCCCCATTATTTTGTTAAAGCACACAAGATTGGAAGTCAAACAAGTGATGTGGCAGAAATGGAAAGTTGAATGGGGATATGGGAGGAGTGCACAAGACTCCCTTAAAATTACATAGTTTATCTATTTTTTTCATGCTTCTAGAAAGTAGTTTCAGACCATCTACTTAAAAGACTAAAATTGATAAATAATAAAGCTTCTCTCATTGGCCCTTCACCCATGGCCATGGCAATTAAATGCATTAAAAAGATAACATATTGCCAAACGCAAATGCACATCTCAGGAAAAATCAGAAAGCAAGCCAGGAAGAAAGGGAGAAGTGAAAAAAAAAGAATAACCATTTTAATGACCACTTATAATTTGATAAACCATAATGCTGTAGATAACATAGTAGATACAAGTATTTTTCCAAGTGTTGAAAAGATATTTAATGCTATTTTATTATCCTTGTGATTTTTTAATAAATGAAGAGAGGATGACTCAGTTTGTGTCTCAGCTGAAGTTGCCTGCTGCTATGCTAGCTTCCCAAACTCATGGGAAGCCAGGTCTTCCAGGAAAAGATGGATTACCTGGGCCACCTGGGGAACCTGGACCACCAGGTAGGGCTTCCAATATCATTCCTATATGCATATTTTTTAAAGCATTCAAACAGTTTCAAAGTTGGGTAAAACTATACAGGTAATAGCTTTCTAAAACTTTTAAATCTGTACTATCATTTTCTAGACTAGACCAACCAATATATTAACATTTGTTTAGAAGTCTGTTTTGTTGTAAAACTAATTAGTGCATAATCTTAATAACTGATCACAACAGTATACTGATATACTCCTTTTATTAATTTACAATTATTCTAACTGAATAATTGGCACCAGAAGATAGGATAGTTCTAATAATAAGAAGATTATCTCATAATGAGTTATTTGAGTTTCTGTTCTTAGGGATCCAATGTGCTATAAAATATACACAAATTAAAGTGTCACCAAAATGAAAAAAACTGTAAATGTTACAATTTATTACTTTTCCGGTAAATTTAACTACATACATATATTCTTGTAATTAGATTTGTGCAGTATATAAAGAAAACTTAGCAAGAAATTCTGTAAAGCGACATGTTGATTAACTAAAAAAAAGGAATGTTTATAGTTTTCAGTATTATATTACATTAGTCTCAGTGAATCAGTGAAAACAAACAATATTGCCATTTTAGATGTACAAACAAGATATTTAGAGTTCACATTGTAAAACTATGATTGGGGTAGTAGATATAAACCCTATATAAGTATAGGTAGTTTTTAATTATTATTTTTTGTTAGTTTGGTCTGCTCGAGTCAGAGCAAGTCAGACTAGAATGAAGAACATGAAAGCAAAGCTGAAGAAGTGCGGAACACAAAGCTGTAAGAGAAGAATAATGGCTTAGAGACTGAGAAAGAGCTCAGAATGAGAAGAACTAGAATGAAAAGATCACACATTGTTACAGAGGACTAGAAGTTTTTCAGAATATGGCTTGCTCCTCAACAAAATATGCAAATTCTTGTAAATAATCAACTTGAATATCTCTGCTGCTAGATTGTTTAACCAGGATGCACAGAGTGAATAGCTAAAGATGTTTGTTAAAAAAAAATGAAAACGAAAACCAGCAAACCAAGATATAATGTGAATGATTTCCCACTGGCATGTGAAGAACTAGAAACAAGGCTTCTAGTCACAACAATAATAAAAGCTGCTTTTAGTGTTATATTTGTAAAGAGATCATTGCAAAATATCTCTGAGTGTAGCATATTACCTCATTGCACCAACCCTAAATCAGCCATGCTTTGAACAAAATGTGTACTTTGAATTATATCCAGGTGTCACCACACAGTAAACATTTCAGTAATTTAGAGGTAATGCTGCAGTTGAAAATTCAGCCAAGTCAGGTTCATTTACTTCCAAAAAGATCTGGCTTGCAAGATCTGCTTCTCAGAAAAATACATCTACCACCAATGTTCCTTTCTTTAAATGCCTCATTCATTCTTCTACAATAGTCCTCAGCCTTTGGGGCTAAATAGCATACTGGGAATATTGAGCATTTATAGGAGCACTATTCCAAAATGGCTGCTGAGGGGTATTCCTGTTCTCCAGATAGTAATTGAGTTCACACAACCTCTTACAAAGCACCAATTTATCAAATTATTACTTGCCAAGCCCTCTATCCACTACCTCATGAGATGTTCTGTAGCTTCCAACTAATTTTTCTCCGCTCACCTCTCCCATTTTGGATATTCAAGGTTACAACTGTAGGACTACCCAATTTGAGCTGCTAAATTCCAGATGGCTACTAAGAGTTCGATACATCTTCCCATACTTCATAACATGGGAGATGAGGTTGTCATTTTTTTAGATTCTCCACAGAATATTGAAAGTGACTAGAAGCCAGTAAATTCAAATTTTGGCCAATCAGAAGTTTGCAGTAGCACTAGGCTGGCAATATTGAAATTGCTTCAACTCTTTTCTGAATGAGTGAAATAGTGTTTTCCAATTGCTTCTCAACAGAATATCAACAGAATGAAAGATTCAATTATACCATTTGAGCAATGGAATCGGTATGGAAGGTGAGGCTAGAAAGAAACAGAACTTGTAGTATGCCCAACATCTTCTTGTATTCAGTATTCAAGCAGGATAGCTTCAGTATTCAAGCAGGATATTCCTATCCCACAATGCACCTAGACAAGAAGACACTATAGACACTAACATGCATTAAAGGAATAACGTCAGTTATTAAGTGAGACATTGAATAAAATATGCTTTGCAAAGCTAAATAATAATCTAGTTATGAAGGGTAAATTTTAAAGCTGAAATTCCTATATTGTTTGGGGGGGGGGGATGATAATCATGTGGCAGTCTGTAATTTCATTAACCCTGGTTTTTATATAACTGAGGAAGTAAAGAAAATATAAAGAATTTTCCTCACAAGTACAAGTGATTCTTCCTTAACAACCACTCATTCAGTGGCCATTCAGACTTCCAATGGCGCTGAACTTACAGCCAGTCCTGGGAGTTCCATCCATCAGGGCATCCCACAGTCAGCCATTTGCAACCTTCTTTGTTGGCTTCTGACAAACGAAGTCAATAGGGAAGCTGACAGGAGGTCGCAAATGGCGACCAAATCTTCGCTTAACAATTCACAGTAATTTGTTTATTGATGTCAACCAGGAATACCAGAATTGCTATTGCTAAGCAACATCATCATGTGGCGTCACACTTTACTGCACTCCTTAGCAATGTAATTTCCATAAACAATTGCATTTGTTCACAGAGGATTACCCATAGACACTTTATATGTGCTTTTTGTTGAAATGTAAATAATGGATACAATTACTACAAAAGTTTTTTTTCAATGTAGCAGATAACTGAATGGATTTCTAAAACATGTCTCAGTGGCTCACTTTTTTTAACAACCTTGTTCTTGCCTAGTTTCATGCACTCATATGATATATAATATTCCTCAAAGATCCCCACATTTTAAAGATAAAATACCTCCTAAAGAACAAATTCTTCAAAAGATATTCTGAAGCCTGAATCCCAATCATAAAATTTTCTCAGTAGAAAGTACCTTAATGTAAATGCATCTTGTCCAATTATTAAGTTAAGTAGAAGGCAGAGCAATGGATTGTAGAAATATAGCCTGTTTAGTGATAGTTTTAATCTATTGTTCTGTCATCAAACTGGAGGACAAGAGGAATATTTTCTCAAATATGGAGAACTCTAATGTACTATAGATTTCCCGTTCAATAAAAATATACACACACAAATGTTATATATGTTAAGGCAGATTTTGAGTGAAAGATGAAACATGCCAACTTTTCTATTTAGAAGGAACAGAAATGCATACATCAAAGAGAGAAGATTCTTTTTAATGGCCATGAATTCCTACCCCTGGCATTAGAAGGTGTTCTAGACATTTCTAACAATTTTAATGTTTCTTGTCTAGTTTAGAGGTTATAGTACAGTGTCCACGGGCACCATAACATCTGCAGCAGTGGTGGAATTCAAAAAAAATTACTAGCGGTTTTGTGGGCTTGGTGGGGGGTGGGATGGCTTGGTGGGCATGGCAGGGGAAGGATACTGTAAAATCTCCATTCCCACCCCACTCCACAGGGAAGGTTTCTGCAAAATACCATTCCCTCCCCACCCGCTTTCCAGCTAACCTGCTTTCTAGCTCCGTTCTCCTGTGCAGGGCAACAAAAGAAGACCCAGCTGATCAGCTGGGACTTGGGAGGTAGAGAATAGATGGGGGCGTGGCCAATCAGAGGTGGTATTTGCCAATTCTCCAAATTACTCAAAATTTCCGCTACCAGTTCTCCAGAATTGGTCAGAACCTGCTAAATATCACATCTGATCTGCAGCCCTCCTAGATGGTACTAACTCATCCCAAAAATTTAATGAAATATAATATTCTAATGTCCAGAATCTTGCAAGATAGCTTGGAAAATCTTTTATCTCAAACATCACTCAAAGTTGTGCAACACTGTTGGTATCTGAAAAGATTGCTGACCCACCTGTAAGTGAATAGGGAACCCTACACCTTTTAAAGTCTTCTAAATGGGAAACCTAAATTCTAATCTTACAAAAAAGCAGTACTTTTGTTGTCAGTAGGACTGAAGATTCAGGTGTACAGTCTAAAATTCACTGATAATTAGAGAATGATACAATATCTTATTGTCAGCATCCTTTTTTTTTTCAAGCATTCCTGCCTATGTTTGTCTGCTTGGACGTCTACTCATCCAAAGAAGTACTGTTTATTTAAACAGGTTTTGTATTCTCCTCTAAACTTCCCAAATGCTGCCAGGGCTAACAATGTGATTGATTAGTGGAGTATTACAACTGTATCTTTACAATAAATCATAGTTAACAAATAACTTGTTTATGTTTCATTATACATTAATTGAGAGAATTTTAGAGTTACACCTTGTTTCACTTGAGTTTAAAACCTTATAATAACACCATAGTTTTCGCAATAAATTTAAAATGTCACTCAGGTAGACTGTGAAGTTAAACACTGGAGGTTTAATAATTACTAAAATATACCTCATATTTAAAATTGCTATGTTAATGACAGATATAGTTTTGGATTGCTCTTGAATGGTGTTCTCTTACAATATTTAAGTGTTTTACTTACTGTTTTGTCTCTATAAAATAAAGTCAAAATTTACAAATTGTTGATGAAATGTTTCATAAATGTTTTGTTATTGCTCAATAATGTAAAAATATTTTATGTAATTTGGATATGACTAATCATTGGGGGGGGTTAGATTTCATAGTCATAAATTGTGAATTGACTCTTATATTCATGTCAGCAGAAGTTCTGGGTTGCCTTATTTCTTGTTTACCTAGGGTTCAAAATTATTGTTTAATTTCCTTATCCATGACACAATCCAAGTGATTGAAACCTAAGAGGATATCTAAGGGAGAGGGAGACTTTTTTAATGCATAGCACCAAGTCTGCCCATGGGTGGGGGAGTGAAAAAAGTGAAGCAGAATTTCAATCACAAGGCCATGGCCAAAATCTAGGCTTTTTTCATCCTTCCTGAAGATGCCTCCTACCACTCAGCAGGATTGGTTTGGAGTATTATTTTTATTGTAAAATAAAGGAAGGTAATATAACAAACAACAAGCATAACATATGCCCTTGCTAGAAAGTGTAGTGATTGAAATAAATTACATACCTTTCCAACTAACATGTTTATTAAATTAATCATGGTAATTGGAGGACATTAAGAGTTCTATTCAACAGGACATAGTTTTCCAGATATGAAGATATCCCATTTCACTGTCAGTTTGTTTTTTAATATATGTCATTTTCTAAGCAGTATGCATGCTTCCTGATATGCTTGTTTTGTTGAGGTAACAATAATTGAAATCACATTTAACCAAAATTGTGTTATTCTAATTCCCTTCATCTGACAAAACTAGAACATTAATCTCATGTTAGCACTAATATTGACATTAATCTCATGCCTGCACCTCAAATGTTCACTTTGCTGAGAAAAAAATCAGCTACAGGCTTTTGATGTAATTCTTCATTTTCTTGAGCCACTGGCTGGATTCACCTATCTACGCCATGATATGACTTAGTTTTGGTTTAGCAAATATGTGAACTATGTCCTTTGTGAATCATGATTTATGTCTTTGCATGATGCTGAATTCAAATATATGTTGTTTACTCAATCAATTGATAAAGGAACCATGGCTGTTCTGCCAGAGAGTAGATGGGTCAGCTAGCTTCTATTGGTCAGTATCCAGCATGCTACATGGATGCTGCTTTCCAATCAAAGTCAACATGTGTTTTCTGAATATATTGCTAAAGACATTTGTTTTCCTTATTCAGAAGCAAGCAGAGAAGAATCTTGGAAGGAGACATACATCTTTGTCAATTGTGGTCATGCTCTTTGATCAGGAGCATCACTTTGAGCAACGGTGAACAAAGAGTTAAATCAGTCCTAAATTAGGCCCTTTGGTCTCACACACACACACACACTCATACACACACACACACACCAGAAGTAATAACAGACCTCAGCATTTTCAAATTCACAACTTTTAGTTCAAATATGCCTTTCTGACCATGTTATCATTTCTTTCAATATATATTTCCTCTTTAGTATTGTTGTGACAACCCATCTAAAATTGTGTGACTCAACAGTGTGAACTGACACTGCATTTGGAAATAAGCAATTTAGAATTGATTTCTCTCAGCTATCTGCTATATCTGTCTTCATCCTTTGTCCTTTAATTCCCTTAATGTCCCTTAAATGCCTTTGATGCCTGACAGTTTTTCAGAACCATTGATTAGTCTTCCCATTTTCTGGCAGTAGAAGATGGAATTTGTTTTAAAATCCTGCTTTTTCACAAAACCACTTTGTATCTCAATTATAGCTCTTACAAATATCTGATTCGAGTTTCATAACATGGATGAATATAAAGAGGCACAATTGTCTATATGTTTTCCCTTGATTTCACTGAAGGTATCTGAAACTTTTTTCTTCAGAATTGCTTATACAACTTCATAAGGTGAAATCTATTCATATAATTGACTTCAAAACTGGAGTTCAGTCATAGGGAACAACCAGGAGGGCCTTTTTGTCTTCCTCAGAAACAACTATTTTAAAGGCCGCAAATCCATTCAGGCCTACCAGATCTTTATGAACATTCTCCACATCTATCAAAATGGAATTCTAATATTCCCAAGAAGAAAAAACAATGCTATTTATATCTCAAAGAAGCGGCTTCCCCTCCTGTTTTATTTTTAATAATTTCCACATGTATCAGTATTTTAGATATAGCAGCCTTTTCCAATTTATCACACCATGGCTGTTCTGCAGGACAGTAAATGGGTCAGCTGGCTTCTATTGGTCAGTATCCAGCATACTATTGTACCTACATGGATGCTGCTTCCCAATTAGAGTCAAACTATGTTTTCTAAATGTATTGTTAAAGACATTTGTGATGTGCTGGGATTGTCCCAGAATTTTTACCTGGTATGGACATGAAATACTTCAGGAAGGTTCCAGATCAAGGAAAACTGATGTAGGTAGTCTCTATACTAGTGCAAACTTAAATTCAGATCCCCATGTCCATGTTGTGGTTAGGTTCTTATATTGTGCTAAACTATCATGATCTTATGGTTTATTGTGAACTTAGTGCAGTATGTGAACCAACTCAATACAATATCTGAATAACCTTGAATTTTTCAGCAACCTTCACATATAAAGCATGCAATGGCTACATCATTCTGTAATTATCCGTTCCTTGATAAACTAAGTGCATATACTTGAACCTAAATTTCCTGTGTTTAGATAAAAGCTATATTTTATCCTGTACTTGGTTTGGCAGCTCATTGCTGCTGAAATCTCAGTTTGCAAGCCATATCATAATATGTCCTGTGCTCAGCACTTTTAATGATATCCTAAACTTACCGCAAAGTCGTTCAATTCCCTGCCAATTCCCCATGAAACTTATTCTCAAGTATTAACAGACTCCATTGTTTCACCTTCCACTGCATCTTCCGGTCTTCAAGTACACATTAATCCAAATCAGGCAAAATTAATGCCAATAAATGGTTAAATATACCTAGCCAGCACTTTTATGTCAACCTCTGCTCCTCTCCACAGGAAATTTTCGGTGTATAGGAAGTATGTAAAATATTGCTTAAATTTCCTGCATGGGAAGATAAGTTAAAATGCTCATTGGGGAAAGAGTCTAACAAAACTTTAAAGGTGTCATTTCAGAACACTCTTATTCCGTTTGTATTTATCTTCTCTAGGCTACAGAGGACAAAAAGGTGAAAGAGGTGAGCCTGGAATTGGCCTGCCAGGTGATCCTGGCCCACCTGGTCCTACAGGTAAAAATAACTCCTCCTATTCTTGTTAATACAGCAAATACTGTATATATATCTACATCTATATCTATATCTACATATCTATCTATCTATCTATCTATCTATCTATCTATCTATCTATCTATCTAAGTTTTCGCGGGTATTTATATGTATGGTATTCAGCTTTGTTCGGGTATTTTCCCACATCATTATAGTTGTGCTTTTAAAGTTGTAGCAACGTTTTGGCAGAATCTCATCTGCCATCATCAGGCTTCTGTATAGTGTTCGTCTGTGAGTCAGACGTTCATAGCCGTTTCAGTTTTAAATTTGGTGCTAGCCTACTGCTGTGCCAGAATGGTTTTTTCTTCATCCTGCTTGGTTGGGAGTCTTGGTCTGTGTTGATTGGTCTTGGAGTTTGCTGTGTGCTGCTTGATTGGTGTTTCTAATATCTTCTGTCTGTTTTGTAGCTTTTTTTGTCTTGATGGGCTGGCAACATTGGTTTTCCTGTATTGGAGGCTTTTAGTGCAGCTTGGCTCCGAGTAAACGGACGGCTATCATTTATTAGGAAGCTGGGTTTCACCTGGGTGCCTGGTTGGGGTGTGTTTGAGCTGGAGGTATCGGGGGAGGGTCTGTTTGTGCCCAGGTATTTGCCTGGCTTGTGGTGTGGAGATTTTTTTGTTTGAGAGTGCAGGCTTCCAGATAATTGACAGTCTGGTGGAGTCATCTCTTCTATTCATGCTTTAAGGTCTTTTTTCAATCTCTATGGCTTCTCTGATAATTCTGTAGCTGGGGTTTTCTATAGTGGCTAGGGTGCCACCCACAAACCCAAACTATGGTTAAGCTACATCAATGACACATTTGTTATTTGGCCCCATGGAAAAGAAAACCTAAACAATTTCCGAACACACCTAAACAGCACACACCCCAAAATCAAATTCACCATGGAAACAGAAACAAACAAACAACTACTATTCCTAGATGTACTAATGTACAAAAAAACAGATGGCACACTAGGACATACCATATACCAGAAGAAAACACACACCAACCGCTACCTCAACACCCAATCCCACCACCACCCAACACAGATAAACTCTGGGGTCAAAACACTAATTGCTAGAACCAAACACCTGGCAGACAAGACACACATAAAGACTGAACTATGCACCCTGACTAAAGTACTGACAGCCAACGGCTTCCACAAAAGCAAAATCACTGGCTTGATCCACAAAAACACGCTGAGACATAATGGAGACCTAGAAGATGAACAGACCTATGGAACAGCTGTCTTGCCCTACATAAGAGGTACTACAGACAAAATCAGTAAGATACTACACAGGCATCACATCAAGACTGCCTTCAAAACAGACAGAGAAATAGCAGCCATCCTAAGATGAAATTGACCTGGAAAACCAAGGCATATATGAAGTCCCCTGTGCATCATGCCCTGCCACATACATTGGACAGACCAATAGAAGAATAAGTACCCACCTGGATGAACACAAAAATGCAGTAAAAAAGCTGGAACCCACTTCCTCATTAGTCCAACACATGAAAGCCACAGGTCATAGCATCGACTTCAATGGCACCAAAACCCTAGCCACTATAGAAAACCCCAGCTACAGAATTATCAGAGAAGCCATAGAGATTGAAAAAAGACCTGAAAGCATTAATAGAAGAGATGACTCCACCAGACTGTCAATTATCTGGAAGCCTGCACTCTCAAACAAAATAATCTCCACACCACAAGCCAGGCAAACACCTGGGCACAAACAGACCCCTCCGATACCTCCAGCTGAAACACACCCCAAACAGACAGAAGATATTAGAAACACCAATCAAGCAGAACACAGCAAACTCCAAGACCAATCAACACAGACCAAGACTCCCAACCAAGCAGGATGAAGAAAAAACCATTCTGGCACAGCAGTAGACTAGCACCAAATTTAAAACAGAAACGGCTGTGAAAGTCTGACTCACAGACGAACACTATACAGAAGCCTGATGATGGCAGATGAGATTCTGCCGAAACGTTGCCACAACTTTAAAAGCACAACTATAATGACATGGGAAAATACCCGAACAAAGCTGAATACCATCCATATATATATATATTCAAAAACAACTAAATTGAGTTGCCCTGTAATGCATAACTTCTGAAATAAAAGTCACGACCCACCACTGGATCCCTGACTAAAATTAACAAGGCTAATTGCAGTTTCTTGTTTGTTTGTTTAGTTACTGGTATGCAAGGCCCACATGGAGCTCCAGGAGAACCAGGTGAGCAGGGAATACCTGGCCCTGCAGGAAGATGCAATCCAGAAGATTGCTATTACAAAGTTTCTCAAAGTCAGTCCCGAACAACTGGGAAATGAACAGCTATTTTGGATATATTTTAATTCCTCAGTTATCTTTTCCTCACTTCTTCCCCCATCCCCTTATCAAATTTTGAAATTTAAGTTTTAAACTATTGGTGAATTTCTGTCTACGTTTATTTTACACAGCATCTCAATGGAACATTTCGCGTCCAGATTAAGCCAATACTGAGATGTTGTTTTCTTGAGTTCATTCCATATGTTTATACTTTTAATGTATTTTTCTTTAGCAAAATGTGCATCATGATGGCCTGTTGACCTCTTAATGGTTTTTTAGTTTATGAGGGTTTTTTTAATGAGTTTCTTACTTTTACCTTTAACACAGAAGCCATATTTAGTTTACTTTTGTTGCATGTCTCCTTGCAGTTCAATCTATTAAATGGCAAATATAGCTTATAATATGGTACAATCTTGAAGTTTTTCTAAAGGTTTGGTTAAAAATCTAAGTAGTGACTGGCATTTTCCTTGCTCCTGTCACCATAATGCAATATGGTAAGATCTGAAAGGCTTTTTTGAATTGTGTCTACATTTCTAAATGACCTAAAAGACTTTTGAGTAAGGCTACTGTATTCAGGCTGCAAATTTGGAACAACTACAAGACAGTAGCAAAGTGATACAGAAAACTCTAAGTCTAGCAATACTCTAGGTATTACAGATAAGAGCTAACATTCTTACTTCTGAGTCTCTCTCCCATTACTTGTTACTCAGGGAAAAATATTGTAAATTCAGACAGCACATAAGTAAACTATGGCTTCAGTTATATACTCACATTATAGAAGCGAGTTGTAAGCATGTTTTTTAGATTTTCCTCCCTATAAGAAACTGCTTGTAGGATTTTCCCTGCATATGTGAAAAAAAGCCTGATTATTAGAAACTAGTTTAGCTCTCAGCGGGATTGCTGGTAATAACTTGTCCTAGTTAAAATATACATTTGCAAGCTTATACTCTACAGGATGATTATAGTAATTATAATACTGTGCAAATCCAATCATAGTATCTATAGTCTATAGTCCTGTCAGCTCCACTTGATAGACTAGACCAGGAAATCAATGCCACAAGAAGCCTGGAAGTATTATTTTATTTTTATTTATTTATTTATTTGATTTGTCAATCGCTTATAAGATAATAGGTATAAATATAAACATGAGTAAAAATACAGGGAATAGGTATGAATAAATGGGGACAATAGGACAAGGATGGGAGGCACAATGATGCAGTTATGCATGCCCCTTAGTAATCTCACTTTGTTTTTTCATATAACTTTATTTTAAAAAAAAATTAAAGGTAGTAAAAATTTTAAAAAGTAGTAGTAGTTTTTGTTGAAGTTAGCTACAGCAACAGAATTTTTGGGTTTGATTCGGCTCTATCTTTCCTTCTCCCTACCCTCACCAAATCAGGGAGGTGTTTGCTTAATCAGCTTTTAACTACTATCTTGTTTTCCAGAACTTTTAAAAAAATGTTTCAGTCCCCTTTGCTTAGGCTATGGTTTTTGCATATTTCTACTATGGTCATTTTTCTTATTCTCCACAAATCCTTCATCAGGACATTTCATTGCCTCCAGCCAACATGCAAGTGTCCTGCTTTTTATAGACAATAGAGTATTGTTCACCTAGAGAACAAAAGAGTATAGAAGATTGCACAAATGTAATGAATTTTCAAGGTTTATTGTAAGACAATCAGGACTTTAGCTTGGGTAAAATTCTGACAGACTCAACAGAGAATTTCTGCAAGTAGCTGTAGTTTGGAAAGAAGTATCTATCATCTTACATCTTGATCAGCGATATTTGTTGGACTCCTTGTTTTGTTGGGTGGGGAAGGAGAAAAGATGTTCAGAAGAGTAGTGAAACATCAGCAATCCCACTGAGCTCATATATATTGACATAAGATAGGCTAGTTGGCAGTATAAACAACCTTTATCTGAAAAATTCAGGGATTGAAGCAGATTCCGATTTCATTTATCTTGAGGAGAAATGATTGTATAAAGTGAAGTTAAATAAAACTGTTCAGCAGAGATATATAGTAGCATTAGATAATGAATATAAAACTCTAGGTGAAATATTCGATCCAATTCTTTTAGAAATTTATAATGAAGGACTTTCAGAGGCAAGGCTACTAACGTCGTGGAGAGAAGCGTATATTACATTAATACCGAAAGAGGGTGCAGATACCACCTACATAAAAAATTATAGACCAATCTCTTTATTGAATGCCAATTATAAAATATTCATGAGCATAATGGCCAATAGATTGAAAAAAAATATTGAGTAGAAACATACATCCAGATCAAAACAGTTTCCTACCAACAAGGCAAATAAAAAACAATACAAGGACAGTATTAGACGTCTTAGAGTACTATGAGGTACATCCAGAAAAACAAATTTCATTAGTTTTTCAGGATGCTCAAAAAGCCTTCGATAAAGTAAACTGGCAATTTATGATGCAACAAGTAAAGGAGATGAAATTTGGGGACAAATTTGAAAAAATGTTAGGGTCAATATACTCAAATCAAAAAGCATGTATAATAATTAATGGAGAAACCACAAATTCCTTTGAGATAGGAAAAGGAGTCAGGCAGGGATGTCAACTTTCACCTCTGCTCTTTATCATGACACTAGAAATTTTGTTGAGGAGAATTAGGCTGAATTTGGAAATAAAAGGATTAAGAATTAAACAAGAAGAATACAAGGTGCAAGCTTTTGCAGACGACCTTGTATTCTTCATAGAAGAACCAATAAAATCAGGGCCAAATTTAATTAAAGAGATAGAGTGATATGGAGAAGTGGCAGGTTTAACAATTAACAAAGATAAAACCAAAATGATAACAAAAAATTTAATAGAGAATCAAAAAAAGAAATTAGTAGAAGTAGTGGCTGTACAGATTGTTAAAAAAAATCAAATATTTGGGAATCTGGCTCACAGCAAGATGTTCAACAATAAAAGAAGATAATTTTGTAAAATTGGTACAAGCAATAAAAAAGGAACTTAGAAAAATGGGGGAAAATACAATTATCAATGTTAGGGAGAATCACAACCATCAAAATGAACATCTTGCCAAAACTACTATTTCTTTTTCAAACTATCCCAGTAAAATTGGACAATTTTTTTTAATGAACTAAATAAAATTACCACAAAATTCATTTGGGCAGGAAAAAGGGTAAGAATAAAACTAAGCACATTACAAGGTAATGGATGCAAAGGTGGATTTGGACTCCCTGCCTGAGAACTATATTATAAAGCAACAGCATTAACGTGGATTAAAGAATGGGCCAATCTGAGAAACAAAAGAATTATAACTTTAGAAGGGCATGACTTGCAGGCAGGGTGGCATGCCTTCATGTGGAACCTGGAAACAAGATCTACTCTTACTTTAATAGACATGTAATTCGAAATTCATTAATGAAGATTTGGAAAGAGATCAAACATAGACATTATATGAAGATTCCAGGGTAGGTATCCATCATGGAGGCATTGATCCACCCCAATGCTCTAGAAACTGGAAGAAAGATCAGATATTACGATGTTTTAAACTTCCAAGGAATACTAAAGACAAATCAAGAACTTAGAGAGCAAGTGATGAAAATAGAGTGGTGGTCATATTTGCAACTTAAAACGAGATACAAAAAAGACATAGAAGAATTTGAAATTGAGGTAAAGCCGAACCAGCTGGATAAAATATTAGAGGAACAGATGAAAAATTAATTTCCAAAATGTATAATTACCTATTAGAATTCGAAATGGCAGAAGAAATAGTTAAGGGCCCAATGATTGCATGGGCAAGGAATGTAGGGCACAACATCAACCTGGAAGACTGGGAAAAAATCTGGAAACAAAATTATAAGGTAACAAAATTGGCAGTCTATAAAGAGAATCAATACAAATGTGTTACCGGTGTACCTGGCTAATATGTACCCAAACCTAAGTCCGCTTTGCTGGAAATGTAAGCAAAGAAGGAGTACCTTCTTCCACGCTTGGTGGCTTTGACCAAAAAGTAAAAAATACTGAAAAAAATCAGAATTTGGATAAAAGAAATCACAAATATTCAACTAGAATTTAAGGCCAAAATATTTTTATTGGGAATGATAAAAGGTGAAATAAAATATTTAATTCTTCATATAATCACTGCAGCAACAATTGCGTTGGCACAATGCTGGAAGGGTAACCAAATGCCAACAAACAACTTGATAATCAGAAAGGTTCTGGACTGTGCAGAAATGGACGTACTTACCCAAAAGCTAAAGGATGAGGTAGACTCAAAATATAGTACAGTTTGGGAAAAATGGTACAATTGGGTTAAGGATAAAAACCAGGGAATAAAAAGATAAGGAATGGAAAAAATAAAGTGGTTAGATTAAGAGTATTTACCAGAAACAGGAAATGAATATTAGAAAAATTGTTTTTGATTAGAAATATATATGTTTGATGTTTATTTGATTTGTTTTTCACATTGATTTCGTTTGCAACGAAATGTCTTATATTATGCATTGTATATCCTTTTTTAAATCTTTAATAAAATTTATTTTTAAAATAAAAAAAATAAATAATGAAGAGCATTGGCATCTGGGACTAATGAAAACAACGACTGTCCCCTGGATTAATTTCTATTTTAACAAATTAACTGGACTTTTTAGCTCTTTCAGGAATAGATTTATCTATATAAAAGTTATTTTTTTGAAAAAAGGAAGATGCCTAGGTGGAAATAGTAAAGATTAGTTGAAGTGTAGTTCCTTGTTGGTAGGATATCTTTTATATCTCATGTAAACAACTTATAGTAGTTGAGAACCATACTGGGCAATTTGTTGGTAGCTGCAGCCCATAGTAGAGTGGTTAGTGAAATAATTTGTTCTAAATTTGTTCTGAAGTTGTATCATTGTCCTGCTTTGATGGAGCAAAAGGACATCTATGTTTCAGTATTGCATGATGGACTGCTGGATAGCTGTAATGTCTGGCAGGATTTTGTTTGGGAGATGTTAAATTTGTTTTATTTAATTTTATTTAAATTT